TGCCAGTGAAGTCCTGTTGTGCCATCTGTACAGCAAAACAGTTCCCAACAGCCTGGTCACGTAACAGCGCTTTGGACTTCAACAGAAATACAGTACCTGATGAACACAAAGCAGAACCGTTACCCTCAGCCTGTTTTTTCTTTCAAGAACTTTTTTACTGCCGAGTCTGAAGATCTGGCTACACAAATGCTCCAAGTTTGATCATGAAACACCCATGGGAAAAGAAAAACATTTTTACGTGTTTACAGGCTACAGATTTTACAACTGACTGAGGGTACCGCTGTGAAATAAAAGATTAAATCAAACCTATTTCAAAAGAGACTTGATTTTAGCTCAGATTTTCTTCCCTTCCTGGCCTCAGTGAGTGGTTTTAAAGCAGATGGAGCTGCAGTGGGCATGATGCTCTTCGGTGCAGAACCAGACTGCTGCTCACACCGTGTGGAGGTTCTCATTTACCAGCGCTTCCTAGCCAATAGTGGAGGCTTGGCTCCCCTATGGACATGGTCCTCACCTCTGCCCCAAACCCAGCTAACTAAGATCGGAGGATGAGCTGAACCTGACCTCACTGCCTCTCGGAGTCAATAACTAGCTGGGCGTCTTGTTCTGCTCTGCAGTGGTTGACTCCAGGATGAAGAGATGCCCCAACATAAAAGTCAGAGAGCCCCCCATTCTCTCCTCAGACACTGCCCAATGCTAACGGTTTCACCACGCCTCAGTGTCCTGCGTTCGAGACTGAGGGAGACCGCCTATGTTTGTAGCCTGTTCACTGGTTGCATGAAGGATCAGAGGTGGATCACAAGCCCTGCCTCACTGCTTTCCTACTACTCTTAACTACAGTCACAAGGGCACCAATACACCAGTAGTGGCTGAGCCAGGGGCCTTTGCCTTGACCCCCAGCTGTACACTGACCACAGTAAGGCCAAATGGTAATTACCCAGTTTTTTCCTATAGATATATAACCACACATTTACCTCTCACCCTCACGATGTATTAGGTCCACACCCTGACACACTGCACTTCACAATTCGCTGGATCGTACAGAATATTTTTTTCCCCATTGCAAGCCTTTGGAAAGATCACTGTCCCAAGGAGACATGCCTGTAGTCTCCCTTGTTCAGATTCCCCATGCTGCAACAGAAACTGTTAATCTTTTCTGTTTTTTTATTAGAGCAATAAATTAAATGTTAATACAGAAGTGTGAATACCATATTACCATGCCTAATGAGGCACAGTGCAATTTGCATTACAATCATCTTATTAAGTGCAGAGAATAGTTTTCTTTCTTTGTCATTATCTACAAGTGAAAGGCTGCTCTGTAAAGAAAGTTATCAAGGTTAAAGTAGTCTCGAACAGCTAGCTGAGTAAAGACTAGAACAGGGACTTCCAACCTTTGGTCCTGGGGACACCTTACACCTGCTGGTCTGCATTCCAGCCAAACATTACTTATTTGGATAAATAATTTCATTGACTAGAACCTTTGCATGTTTATTTCCACTCAAAAGTCATAGATCTTATTTTTTTAATAAAATGCAATAGGTAAAAGACATGCCCCCAACACATTCAAATTCATTTTTCAATTACATGGTCAATTAAGGTTTCAGTTATATAACAAAGCTCAGCTGGAATGAAAACCAGCAGGACCAGGACTGGGAACTCATCTGGGCTAGACTATCCTCCTCATGTCCAAATTCACCTGCAGAGACGCAGCTCTCTAATGGTTGGACTCTGCTGAGCACAGCTAAAGGATGTGCAGACAGCTTTATTCTTTAAATGAGCTCACACAACCAAGTTCACTTTTCCACAAAGCTTTCTCCCTCTTCATTAGAGGCTTTGCCTGCAAAGAAATTTTTCCCTCCCAACTATGTCAGTGTATTCAGACTGTGCCTAGTCAGTTGCTCATCGCTTCAATCTGTGATTCAACGAGTTGCTCGGAATTTGCATAAAAAAAACACTGGAGTGCTTTCTTCTTTGCCAGGGGTAGTTCACCTCTTGTGCCAAATGAGCAGTCAGTCATCTTTTATCCATTTAATTGCACACTACTGCTATGCCAGAATCTCTGCACTGAAGAACTGTACTGTCCTGCCTTAGAAACTTCACTCTCCTCAGCCATTATCCCACGATCACAGGGTAGTTTAAACACTAATGGTAACAGACTGGCAACATACTGTATCTTTTCACTATACAGTAGAAGACACTTTGGTCATTAAAAAATATCAATATGCATTTTAAAACTACAAGTCACCCATTTTATAATAATACATAATGAATAAAACAGCAAACGATGATGAAAGTTCTTTGAGATGCCATGTCACACTGAGATTAATCCAACAGGTGAAAGAGAAGAAAACTGCATTACAGCTCTGTGGTTCTCACTCCTCTCCGTGGGGCTTTCAGGCCGTCCTGCAGAAGAAGGGAGACTGTCGAGAGAACACTCCGGCCCTCCCGGCTCACGCTCGCTTGAACTTGCAGATCAGGGAAAGGGTGAACACACAAAACAGACCAGGAATGCTTAGAGTGACAAACTCCATGCCTACTGCAGAGACTATTCATTCCCTTGCCTCTTCGGTGTGTTTGCACTCGCTTCTAACAAAACCTGCTTATTGATTCTTCCTTTGGAAGAAGAATTAAGGCCTCCAGACAGACTGAAAGTTAAGCAGGCACTTGGTTATCTGTACTCTCAGTGCATAAATCCTCCAAGATCTTTTCAAGAACAAAACCTTGTATTTGTACCGCAGCTCCATCGCACTGGAGTAGCAGATGCGTAAATATAATTATTCCTAATGTTTCCCCGTGGCACTATAACCCCTGGGAAACAAGATAACTCTTTGGCATACTTTGCCATGAAGAACGGGGAGAACTCTTAACCAACGTCAACGCGTATACATGAGAAACAAAATGAATAAAAAGCAACGTCACTTTCACAACCAAACCCTGGGAGGCAGAATTCCAGGGCAGTTCTTCCCAGCACATTCGGACAACCGGATGATTAAGACATTTCGGACGTTTTCCTAAAGCCATCAGAAAACACCTCACTCTGCTATAGCGGTGAGAACCGGCGCATTGTTTCATTACTGTCCACTCCACGGTAAATTATTTACACTCCACTGAATTATGCATGTGAGTTTATTTACAGGAAGACTTCAGAACAGCAGTCGGGGAACTGCCACGATTCATGGTGGCAAAAAAAAATGAGAAGAAATAAACTAATCCCAGCAAGTCACAGCTGACATGAGAAGACAGAGCTCTGGTCTGTTCAAAGACGGAGTCAATTGAACTGTCCGTCCCTTTCAAGAAATAGGGCCACCTCACAGACTCACCGTTTTCATATCCGTAATGATTTATATACCCGACTCCCGGCATCTTAGAAGTTAGTGTTGGATCTGATCTTCAAGCTGAGAGGCATATGACAGCATTTCAGCAAAGCGGAACCGGGAGAAAAGGGATTAATGTCTGCAATGCCTTCTGCTGAATTACAGCCTAGTGTCCTGCCATCGCAATTTGCATAACCTGCAGCACACGAGGCAGAAAGAGGGCAGAGGGCCCTGTGAAGAGACAACCCCAGGACGGCAAAGCGCTTCCAAAGTGCGAGACGCACCGGGAGCACAAGGCTTTAGCAACAAAGTTTTTTTTAAAAAGAAACAAAGTTAAAAAATATATCCTGGTGGTAATTACACAAGATCTTGGATGCTGGCATTCGCTCGTCTGAACTTGCTAGACTTTTTTTTACTGCGGTCATTCCGCAAAGTAAAGAGGAGGAGGGCGACGGATGAGCCAACACCGACGGGCGCAGCTGCTGCAGACCGAGCTGGTGCGCACCGCGACCCTCCAACCTCCCTCCCTCTTGTTTGTCGCTGAATTAACAGACCATGTTATTAAAAATACCACATGTATATATATACAGTATGTGCGCGTTTAAATCACATCCACTACACCATCTCCGAGCAGGCAGCAGCAGCGCCGTCAGTCTCTCGGAGCCGGCCGATAGCACAGGGCCGGCCCGGCGCCGTCACTCACTGTCACGCTAATCTCTGCTCCCCCCTCACTCGGCCTGCTCCTGTTGTGGGGATTTTTATTTATCTTCTGATTTTTATTTTTACGTTGTCCTCTCTTTTTCTCTGCTTCGCTCGGCCCGGCGGCGGGCTCTGCGCGGCTCGAGAGCGCCATCTGCCGGCCGAACCCCCGCTCTGCGCTGAACGGCTGTAACAGCCACAGTACTGCGCTATATGGACACAGTATATCTCGCCTCTGTTGATACACGTTAGTCACGCGTGGAAACCAGTAACAGTTTTTCCGATGGCTTGAGAGCGGCATTTCCCTGCGGCTCCTCTGGGGTAGGGGCTCATTCCCTGACTGGTTCCAGTGAAAGAGACCCCGGCCACGACACACACTCCTCTCGTTACCTGCCCAGCAGCAGAGAAGGGTAGTGGGACTAGACTACACATGAACCAGCTGCACTAAGTTCAGCATTACACACCAGAAGCGACAGTTCAAGCGCAAACACACACATATATCTATAGTGTACCGGCTGAAATGGCTCGGACTGAGTGAAAGGCTCGGCTCGCCCAGGAGAAGCCCAGCCCAGCCCTGGAGCGCAGCGGCCAGCACCGGGCCTGGCCTGGACTGGACTGGGCCGGGCCAGGCCGAGCCGGGCCAGCCCCCCCCCCAACACGTTAAACACCAGATTGTCTGCCATATGAGAAGAGTTTTTAATTATTTCACCGCTCGCAGTCTGTTTTTCTCGTGTGGAAACTCACCGTGCTTATTAGCAAGAACAGGGCGTCGCCTGATTTAACCATTTGTGTTCGGTGGGTTACTTCGACAGGACCGGCGCACCATTACTTTACAATGTTTGAATGTAGGTAGCGTGTCTAGTGTTTCAATGTGTATTTGGATATTGGCTATTCCCATTTCATTTCACCGTGACCGGGTTCTCTGACCGAGTTACTCTGTCGGCCTGGTGTTTGACTGCGCAGACTCGACGGTGTGTATCCAAGCCCTACCTGTCGTGTTTACCAGCGAGGCGCCATTACAGGATCTGGGGCTCCTGCCCGCTCACCTTCTTCCAGGTTCCTCCTTCACCCTGGAAGAAACACCAGCTCAGAGGAGTGTCTCCCGTTTCGTCTTCACACGCTACAACCAACTCGAGTCTCCGTCGGATTCAGGTCAACGAAATTGCCGCCAACCCCGAGCAGGCCACAGCCGTAAAGCAACGCGCGCTGTTGTGGGTTTTGTTTTTAGTTCTGCCGACTTGATTAAAGTTTTTTCCTCTGTCAGCTGGTGCAGAGCTTCGCAAAACGAAAACGCCCGTTAACAACCAGCTGCCAACATACTCGATTCCCCAATTAACCGAACGACAGAGAAAAGGGGTTTGTAGGCGTGTGCCAACTGCGGGTTAAGAGCTGAAAGTTTCAAAAGAAGGGAAACGGACCTGCGTTTCTTGGCTGCTGGATTCCAGTATTTATTGTTGACCGGTGTAGTTTTAAAAAACATTTAGTTTGGCGCGTTTTATGCGACCTCATGAAGCGTAGCAGGAGAAACAAGTAGGAAGAGTTATCTTGTGCACCTGCATTCAGACTACATGCACAAAAATGATACTGTCGCACTCCTGTAGGAAATACAGTAATGGAAAAATAAAGTTTATTTGTATCTCCTTTCGTTCATCACAGGGCTCTGTTAGATGTTAAGATTTAGTTTGGCTTCGGTTTTCCAGTTCCCCTCTGGACAGACGCCAGTTCTCCCACTTCCGAGTGAGAGCGCAGCGCAGCTGTGGCCCGTGGGCAGACACGCGTGGTCCAGTCACTGCCTTCACAGGATTAGCTCCTTCACTTCTTACGCACTTTTTTTACAACGTGTACTCTACTTAACATCTTATGACTGTTTTTTGTGAAAGTTATTATAGCCCATTACTGTGCGCGCCTATTGTTACATGACTCACTTGTGCGCCTCATGAAAAAACGGCTCCTTCAGGTCCTCTTAAGTTTTAACGGTTCCTCCAGACCTCGGCCTTTTTTTCGGAGCGGGGGCAGGACCGGGGCTCTTCTCGGGACGGAAGTGTAGTTTGTCGTCTGTCAGGGGGAGAGATTCCCTTCACTGCCTTGAGACCCCACAGCAACGCCTCGCAGGTCTGCGCCCTATTCAACAGGACACCCGCGCCCGCTTTTCAAGACGGAGCTCGCCGAGTCTGAACACACTGTAAACATGAGGGGTTACCGACAGCCTGACCAGTAGTTTCCACTACAAACACGTGGTCTCCAACGGAAAAGCCGCTGATAGAAGAAGCCTGAGCTTTTTAAACATGATAAAAAAATTAATTGAAAAATCATTGTCGTGCTAACGAGAGATTTAACAATTATCAGCTTCGGAATCGGGTGTCTATGAATAGAAGTCGGGGCAGTTAAATCCGAGCTGCGGATTTGGGGTGCGTGTCACGTGGCGCTGCGGTTCAGACTCGGGGGGCCCCAGGGCTGGTCGCGTGCCCGTGGGGTGGAACAGGCTCGCGGTACATCTTGTAAATCCGAAAGCGAGTAAAGTCAGTGCCGGACTGTAGATTTCATTAACTACGCGATAGCCTGTTATAATTCTTACAACTTTTAAAGGTTAAGCAGTACTTAAGGCTACAAATCTTATTCAAAAACAGAGTAATTAATAGTTTCGGAAGCTATGGACTAATAACATTTCCAAGACAAGTCTCTTCATAGCCCCATTAATACAGGTCGGCAGCCCTACAGCCTGAAGGCGCAGCCCGCCTCGCCTAGCGCTTTAAATCTCTAGGGGGAAACACGCCAGCCACAAGCCCACGCCTCGTTCAGCGAGGTGTGCACAGGACCAGCAGCTTTCAATTCCTAACCGTGGTACTTCAAGGGACGACCTTGAGAACCGTACTGTTACCATGTTACGGGAGAAAACAGACTGTGAATAATATAGAGGAGCATGAAGGGGGAACGTCTCGTATCCTTCATGAGTCTTTTGAACGTTTGCCTTCGGGAAGACGGTTCGCTGTCCACAGTGCGAGACGTGGCTTTGATCAGAGGGCTTCGGGCTCGCAAACAATGCACTTAATACCTTCTTAAATATTACACACTGTTACTTTCGACCATTTTTATGCTCCGTTTGCTGTTTTTATTTATGTATATATTTTCTTATTGATGTTGTTTTATTTTCTAAGTTTTGCCTGTTGAACAACTTGCTGTTTAAATTGCCCCCCATGAGATGAATAAAGTATTTTGAATTGAAAGATCGGGCCGTGGACAACATACTATTTCGTTCAGACTGCACGCCGGTGTCGCAAAGAGCACCGCTGTCCGCTCGCCCTGTCCTGCGCCTGCGCGCTGCGCGATGGGCTTCGGGGATTCTGGAGCTGGGGGGGGCTGAAAGGGCAGTGATCGTCCCTCCCTGACTGACGGCTTCCTCCCCCTCCTAAATCTGTGCCTAATTGGAAAAGTCCGCCCGTGGGACCCCTCCGCCCCGGCAGGCAGAACTGTTTCACCGCCTTCAGCTACACCCGGCCTTGGCCCAGAACTTACGTGTATTTCAAGAGAATGAAAACCTTCCAAAACTGCAGCAAGCTACCTGTTGCTCAGAGATGTAAACTAGTGTTTACAGATATAAACACGGAAGCTATGAAATCCATATTTTCACTTGGAGCTCCTTCTAAAATATCGGGTGATTTTCATGACTTTTGCGACACTTCGCTCCTGGCTCTAATCTCAGTTCACATCTGATGTTGCCGTGTTTATCCCCCCCGCGCTGGTTCTGCCCTCTTGGCTTTGTGACTGAATGCGCAGCCGGCCATCCCATCCCATCCCCTGTCCCGCTGTGGAGCTGCTGGCTCATGTACATCAGCCCGTGAATTGGGACAGTGTTACTCTGACGCGCTCGGGTGAGAAACGTGCGGCGCGGTGACGGCGGACAGCAGACGAGAGCGGGGTGCAGAGTGCACACTGGCGGGAAGAAGCCCTGTGTCCAGCTGAAACACCGCTGCCCTTAACGACTCAATACAGCTTCACTGCCCTTAACGACTCAGTATTACACATAAGGCATTTTCCTTCTTTCCTTTTTTTATTTTCTTGTGTTGGTCGCGGCTGCAGGGGGCAGACCCGAGCCCTGACCGCCCTTCTTGCTATTCTTCCTGCGCGGCTCGGTTGGAGAGTTTGCTGGCACAGATGGTCTTAGTCGGCGGAGCGAACTGAAGTTCTCTTTTCCCTGAGGATGTTTATCGCTGAATCCCTGAAGACAGTGCATACACAGCGGTACTCCATGAACCTGCGTGTTTATAAGACTTCTGTGCCAGATTCCGTTACGCAGCTCGGCACTTCATCATCCCACAGATTGTTCTGCCGGCCAGGGGAAGCGGCTGCTGTTTTGTTCTCGGAGTAGGACGTGCAGAAGCCTTAAGAATTCGAAGTGTCTAATCGCTGGTAAACTGTGGACACACCAGCGATCCCGCCCTACCGCCTCGTAGCCAGATCTGCTCTGCCTGCGAATGCTGGCCAGTAGCTGGACAGGGGCCTGAAGAGGGAGGCCAGGAATTACGGCAGGGGCTGCTGGCGGAACAGTAGGGGGCGATCTCCCGCTTGCACCTGTGTTCCCAGTCCGACACGCCATGTGGGAAGTGCAGACAGAGCGCTGTCAGTGCTGCTGTCCTTCAGGCAGGCATTAAAGCCAGATCCCGACTCCTCGGACACTTCAAACCCCCAGGCAGTGTTTGACAGAGTAGGGAGAGGGCCCGGGCGGCGGTTCTCAATGACATCACGGCCAGCCCGCGGGTGCCTGGCGCGCCCCACAGCCCAGCTCGGCGTCCCCACGTCCCATCGACCCTCACCCCTCGACCTCACCAGTTTAAATGCGCCTGATGCGCTCGGTCACCAAGGGCAGATATGAATGAAACGAAACCTCCTTGGTTTGCTCGAGATGTAAGGCATCACAAAAGCCACGAGGATCCTTCCTCAGAGAGGCTTGGCTAAGAAGAATTTCTCCCTCCCGGTAACTCTTCACACAGATTACATACTTTGATCAGGACAAGCTAGATGTGCACTAATTTCTCTTGGGAGAGAGGAGCAAATTAATTATGCTTCTTCTTAATTGTACATAATTAAAGTGATCTGTGGGCTGTTGCTCAGCGAGTGTTCGGAGCTGCTGAAGCGAGAGGGCAGGCTGTCTGCGGGGTCATGGGAGCAGGACACGCGCATGAGTGATGAGGCAGAGTCACAGAGCGGCTGTCAGGCCTGTCGGCGTCACAGAGGAGATGAGTCACAAACCTCTGAAAGAAGAGAAAACCGAATCCTACTGCACTCTCTCAGGGACTGTCAACGACAATGCAGACCCGCCGTCACGAGAGCCCCTCGTACAGCTATTCTGAATGTGAGGACAGAAGGGCGCGCTTGTTTTTTGTTTTTTAAAAAGTACACTTTGCCATGATTGGCAGTGGCAGTGAGAAAGCAGGCTCGAATCAAGGCACGCGTTTCCTTCAGCCGCCCCGCGAGGGGAAACACACCTTTAATTGACTCTTTCTCGGGCCAAATCAACACCTCAGAAGTGCCAGCCTCTGCCCCAGAGGTGGGACTGGCTAACCTGCTCACCAGGTATCTACCTTCCAGGCTGGGCGGCGGGGCGGCGGGGCGGCGGGGCCAGCACGAGAGTCCTGACTGCAGGAAGGCCAGTTCATCACGTCCTCCCGGAGTTCAATCAAGACAAATGAGGAATTGATCTGTAGCTGTTCTACCCACTGAAAGGCCATTTGGCCTCTGAATAGATCCAAATTGCAGAGAAATCTGTGCATCACCAGCCAATTACTTAAACCAGCCAGGAATTGACACTGCTTCTAATTAGCAGAAGGCTGGAGAAAGCTGCAGTCGCACTTGCCCCACTAGTTTTTTTAAGTTTGAAGAGCTCATCAAGAGGCTGAATTTGTGTTCCAGCCATCACAAACTCAGACCAGCCCCGCAAAATGTTTTGCCAGTGAGTACTGAGGTCTTTCTTATCTCTCGGATGTGATGTCTTAGCTTGTTTGGTAGTTGTGTTAGAATCTTACAAAAGCCCCCCTCTACCAGATACATTTTGTGAACAGCAGCCAAACAAGCATTAAACACTCCGTGTTTCCCATGCTGATAGCTAATAAGTGTAGCCATGTGCTCATGTATACTTTTATCAAAAAAGGCATTGCCTTTCACATGGTTTTGTAAATCTGCTAAATCAAAGTATTAATCTGCCAGTTGTGATGAAGCCAAGATGTTCAGTTTAAAGAAATAAGCCAATAAAATTAATATGCATACAGTATATAAAGCTTGTACACTTTAGGTGTGATAATGAGTAACCAGTGAGTGAAAAGCACCAACAGTCCATTGCAAACCAGAAGAAACTCACCTTCTGCTCTACTTCTTCACACGTATGAACATCCTCAAACCTGTAGCTCTGTTTGACAGTCAAACCTGCAACATGTATTGCTCACACTATCAAACTTTCCAGATAGGTCTGGCTCTTGCATTCCTCAGCCACACTCTGGTCTGTAGTTACAGATTCATTTCTGACCCTCTCCGTTGCCTTCCAATGGTCTCTGGCCCACAGATTCTGAATCATGCGGCACAACCTCAAGTCCAGCTGGTGACTGCAGATTGTACCTATCATGAAGTACGCCTTCCCCTGGCTCTGAAGGAATGGCCGTCTGTCCTTGGCTTACAGAAGCCAGGTCTCTGTGGATATGCCCATGTGTCTTCCCAACTGTTCTGCTATTTCGTACCTTCCAGCTGAGGCAACTGTTAAGACAGTAACAGCATGATCACATTACTCCACAGCTGGCACCCCTGTACTCGCTACACGTTTGGAATAAAAAATCAGTAGTTCTCCTAAACCATTCAGATCAGTTATCTGGGAATTGCTATGGCTGCTACATACTAGTTTGAGTCCTCTGATACAGGCATTTACACAATTCCTCTGCTTCTGCAGGATCTTTTTCTGTCCTTTAATCAACACCCGTGCAGGTGCACCTGATAATATTGGATATTAGTTGTTGTTCATGGACACTGAAGTCATCTACAGTGCGTCCAATTCAACTGCCTCTGAATAGCAAAATGAAATAACACTGGCTTGTGGAAATGCAGGCCCTCTGTCAAGATGTGATCAATATTTCATTACTGCTGTTTGCTCTGCTGTACAGTTCAGCTAATCATTATGCATCAACAAGGCCTGAAAAATGGCAAATAGATTGACATGGCAAATTTACTGCATGATATTACAAATTGAAATGCGGGGTAGAACTCTGGGGTGGGGGTATTTATTTTAATTGTGTCCATTACATCACAATAGCGCCAAAAATAAGAGATCACAGTCTCTTCTGAATTCATGGCCAATTGAATCACTGTCTCTAATTTATCCCCTGGGCATCCACTATCACATTTGTGTTTGTGATTTCTCTTTGAATTAAGGTCTTATCTGAGCACTTTAAAATAAAGAACATGTCACAAAGCAGAAAGGATTTCAAAAGTCTTTCACAACAGTAATATCGATATTTTAAAGTCACAAACCCATGTACAGTATTTGCTGATGCTCAGCTCTTCCCTTGCCACTAAACTGCACAGCGATGTGATAAGAAGTCTCCATTAAAAAGAAGTGGAGGATGGAAATGAGGATGGATGTAAGAGCAACAGAAGATGGGAAAACAGTCAATTTACATATTCTCCTCTCTGGCTCCTAAAACAGCTCATCAGTCACAGCTGTCAAACAAAATGTGTAGGAGCACATTTCTTGAGCTGAATAAACAATAAACATAACATGAGTCAAATAGCTTTATAAAGACACAACTGGAGACACCGAAGAACCACTGGCCGTTTATACTGGCGTCCACAGGGGCCACAGCGTCCGAGGGAGGCTCTGTCCCAGGAGCGCTTTCTCGGTTCTGCTGTGAAGAGATTGGCAGCAAATCATCCTGCAAAGTGCCGAACAAGTATCATGTGCACATGCCCGAGTCTGGGCTGGTTCTCTTCAGTTTCAGGCCTGCTCATCTCATTCTGCACACGCTTTCATAAGCACCATTTATGAATCCAGCTCTTATTTCTACTGCAAAGTTTAATTCTAAATATCCAGGCATGATTTAATACAGAGAACAATAAGTTCAGAGTTAAATTTTAATTTGTGCAAGTGCTGTGAACTGCAAAACTCCACAGACTTGCCTTTTTAATATCAGCACAAGAGATTTCAGATGTGTTCTTTGTGCTCTTTATGATTTAAACCATTTCCAATTCAACCCTAATTTTATTTTCATATTTTAAAAAGGGCAGAAGCCACCAGCAAAGCAAAGAATTCAGGGAGGGAGGAGAAAAAAACTCAGTCTTTTTGTATTTAGATTCTGCTTTTGTTGCATAAGAAAATATAAAGAAATGCACTGAATAAAGTTAAATGCCAGTCTTTGTCTTTGCAGTTTGCGAGAAACTCAAAAGACTCTAAACGAAGCAGAGACCTATTGGATGTAACCCGCAGGACACTCAGCTGATGGGGAGGCTAGACAATCTAAAAGTCACTTTCTCTCACCTCCATTGTGGTTAAGCGACTTACTAATTGGTCGCTTTTGTCTTCTGTTTTCCGTGACTGAAAAAACATGCGGTGTCTCTATTTGTTCCTCAGCGTGATCTGCTGTAGAATAGATGCTACACAGAGCAGCCCAGGTCAAATCTCACATGTTAATGTCTGAAAGTGTACAGCAGAGTGCTGGAGCCACACTGTCTCCCTGTAGCACTTTCTAACTTCCTTTCCAAAGAGCAAGCCTGCAGCTCTGAGCTGGAAAACACTGTGCAACCTGGCCACGCATTTGCTTAGACAGAGACCAGGCAAAAGATTTCAGACTCTGCAAAGCAAGGAACATCAAAAGAGGACACTAATAGACTGAAAAGAAATGAAACTTTAATTAGATTAGGTGCTGATTGAGGAATGAATAATGGACTGTGTCAGTAATGAGATTTTAGGAAACTACCTTAGCAAACAGATCATCCCCACAGGCTTTTCAAATGATATAAAACATCTTTTTTTTCTTATCCTGAGGATATTAAGAATCTAATCTTGTAAGACAATGAATGTTTGGCCACATATATTTTCTGAAAGTCGATGAATTATGAATGCAGTATAATGAAACCGTCTAGAAACAACTTAGGAGTTCAATTAATTGTTTTAGAATTCTCACAATTTTAATCGTTTTAACTTAATGAGCTTCCCAGTGAGCAGGAAAAGAAATGGATAGTTTTGGAGTGAGTTGGCTTAAAGTCTGGAGATTAGGATGACTGAATGAAATGCAAAGTCAGGATCACAAATGATCATGAATAAATGAATAGTAAGTTATGTCAACATTTACCAACTTCATATCATAAGTCCCCTTTATTCTCTTTGGTATCAATTGATGATTTAAACTTTCTAGTGTAGCAATACTTCCTTAGCTTTGGACTGATTTCCATCCAGCTTTGCAACAGGAACAAGTAAAGGTTTATTCCATGATGAAAAGAGAAGAGAAGAAACACACCATTTCAGTTGTGGAGCCTTCTTCAGGTGTGTTTCTAGCTTAGGGTGTGTTTCTTTTCTTCTCTTTTCAGCATGGAATATAGCTTCACTTGTTCCTTGGCAGCCTACGCCTGCTGACGCAGCTCCTACTTGAACTAGGTCAACAATTTAGTTTCCTTTTGTTCAAAGTCAAAGGTTTGCGGAATCTGCGCTGGAAACCTTCTTCAGCTACTACTGTACGTACTGTAACTGCGCTCCTGTGCAGCTGCTCTGCCTCCCTAATCAGACACAGGCTAGAAATTGATAAGTAAAGACAGCCTCAGTCTGGAAACCTGAAAGGCACAACATTCCCCCTCAGCCCAGAGGAACACGCTCAGGCCATCCAGAGACTAGAGTGGAAAAAACATTCACCTTGTTTATTAGCGATGTGATAAATAAGGGCCCTAACGATGCTGCTGTCATTGTTAATGTGAAGGAAAGCGGAGATGGATTTCTGTGAGGATAAACGGGCCTCGTCTTGTCACGCTGCCGTCTGAGAGCCATCAAGAGGTGAATTGATCAGCTCCTGCAACTCTGTTCATTTCCAAACGGGCAAGAAAGAAGGTCTCTTCAGGAGCTCCATTGATCACCTCCACCGATTTTCGCCTGGAGTTTAAATTAGGAGACCGAAGGGGGGTCTGAGCCAAGAATGATGTCCAGGGCCCCTGGCAGAGAGAGTACCTGCTGCTGCAAAGAAAGGCTGATTTACGAGACTTTGATTTCATCCCTGAGGACTGCCGCCTGCTTCGAACTGCTCGCACTCGGCTGGGAGCGGGCACCCTCCACTGGCCTGGATCTGAATGAAGGTCATGAGGCTCCACTCAGCCTTTTACACACTTGGCAGCAAATCGCAATTTCAAATCGCATAGTTTATTTTAAAAAGTACTCTTTTTCATCATGCTTCATGAATCTCAGGCTGCTTATAAAGGAATATGTAACTGTCAAAATCACATTTTATCTTAGAGTTATCACGTCTAAGTTTAAGTCCATAAGTTCATTAACTATGATTTTAAAAACAGAAATGTAAACAGTGCCCTCCATAAATATTGGGACAGCGAAGTCAAAACCACCGTGTTCGCTGTGGACTCAAGCATGTGGATTTCAAATGAAAAGATGAACATGAGACAAAAGTACAGAGAGTCACCTTTACAAAGATAATGATGTGCACAAGGAAAAAGCTATCCAACAGGTATTCTATCCAAGCACCTTCAGTAACATTAACTAAGATTTCCATCACTGTTCGTGTTTTATAATGCTAACAGAGTTTCTTGGTTAGCCATGACACAAGAGCTGAAAGCAGATCTGTATTATTTCACCCTGCGAGAGACTGTGAGGAGATTCAGCAGCACAGGTCCTGGACAGCCTGCATCACGCACAGCACTGAGCTGCTTCACACCTGCTGCAAAAGGTGAACAGAAGGCTTCCTGGCAGAATCCACACACATCAGCAATGGCTGCCTTCTGCCTGTCGCGATGCCAGAGCACAGCAAGAGGAGCTGCATGTCTGCAGTCAGCAGGAAAACGGAACAGAGAAAAGCTGCTCTCAGCTGGCAAGTTCCCACACTGAGCTCTCTCTCTGCGGGGTCTGAGAGCCAGTTATTTCCTTATTCATTTATTTATTGCAAGTTTGCTGGGCTGCAGACACTCCATATCCAGTTATATGACAAAAGCAGCGCAGACGGATTTCAAGAACATCCCAACTGGGACCACGACCGAATGGGAAATGCCTCACACCCGGTCCCAGAGAGAGTCAACCAGGCCTAGGAGCCTCCCACTCTTGTTCCATCTTTTCCCAGTGCTGTATATCCACATGGGAAGCTCCCACAAGTCCAGCCCTTTCTTCTCGATACGGTCTCCTCCACCGCTGGACAAACACTCGCAGCAAAGGCTTCTGGATGCCCCAGCAGCATGTCTGAGCTCAAGGCACTGAGATGTCAAAGCACCACACATCCAGAGTCAACGCATCACTAGCTGATTAATGAAATATCGCGGCACTGCATCGTGCATCCTGAGGAGGGGGAAGAGGACTGACAGGCACTCCCCAGCTCCGGGTAAAACTGAGAAGTGAGAGTTACGTCTTGTTCACCATGCTCCCATCTTGAGATATTCTCTAACCCTGTGTTTTAATAAGCACAAGACCCATCAATGTCAAAGTCTGTTTGATGACTGAGCTTGTAAGCCTGCAGCAACAGCAAACTTAACACGTCCTTCAAAATTCTGTGCTTTTGCAGAAGCTATATAAACACGGGTCATTTATTGTTCTTTTAAAAAGAAAGTGCTGATGGCAGACCGACAGGAAGAAGATAACTTAACGAACCTGAAAGTGACGGAGGGCAGACGAATGGTCTCCTCTCGTTAGTAACCTCATTTCTCGTCTTGTGACGACTGCGAAGGACAAACACAGTGACCAACTGGACCAACTGAGAAATTTCTAAGATGAATTAACCAACAGAATCTAAAGGACTGTATCCTTAAGGTACTTTCAGAAGGCCAAGCTTAACCCAAGCAGGACAGGGGCAGGGGTGCACTCCTGTGACAGCAAACTCCACAAGAACAGGGAATTCACAAACCAAACAGCATCACCTCCGCTCAAGCACACTCCTCTGACAAACGTGGGACAGATAACCAGTTTGGTCTCCTGGGGGATGTCCTTCATTCATGTCAGACAAAAGAGCTAGATGGGTCGAATGGCCCGTGTCTTGTTTTTTTTCTGTTCCAGGGGTAAACAATAAAAATATATTAACTGGCATGCCGCAAATGGAAGAAAATATTTAACCATTATGGTAAGGGTTAAACATTGTCTTCCAAAGATAAAGTAATCATCTTTCTTTAGGGCTTTTTAAAAAGCTTTGCAGGGTGGTCTCTCCAGGCCTGGACATCAATAATAAATATAAAGACCTTCTTCAGTAGAAATCTCGCCTGTACTGGGTCCTCTTGCAGATTCTCTCTTCCACAGAAAGAGTAACCTGCATAATCTCACTGGGTCTGTTACAGGATTCATTACGAGACCTAAAACTGGCTGGCAAAGGGTATTTAGCATGCAGATTCATATTTTGGATTTGACTTTGGAAGGTGTTAGTTCAGGCTCTGTTCTCCAGGGGGCGCTGGTTCCAGCCTGGGCTGTGGGGTGAGCTCACCCTGCGGCCTCGCTGGGCGCCGTGGGAACGCAGAGCGTCAGCATGTGTGGCAGACGACTCAAACGTGCTCTACTCCTGTCTCACAGACACCAGGACCACAGTGATAACTGGAGAAGATTAGCAGTCGGGGATGCCGAAGTGGACTATTACACGTAAAAAGGCCAATTTCATATATCTTGGTATAAAACAAGATTAAAGAGTTCAAGTGTGCTATTCCATCTCCCCTGACAGGTTGATGACTGGTATCCCAACAGCACAAAAGGGAGAAACTCATTTGTCTCAGCTGATTCATATCACCTTTTCAGTTTCTCTGCGTGTTTCTGATGAACACATGCCTGGAAATGCAGAAGCTTGTCTTTATGGATAAGACTAAACACAGATTTTGGAATCCAGCCCCAGGGAGCTATGATGAAAACAGCTGCAGTGCTGTTTTTTTTTAGATCCAAAAAGCATTTTCTTACCTTTGTCTATGATGAAAACCAGACTCTTTTCTGGCTGCTGGGCATCAGCGCTCCAGGAGATGTGGAGAAACAAACAGAGGGAGAATATGCTAACATAATGTATACATTCCAAAAACACTCACACCCCGATACAAAGAAACATCTCATTTCCATATGGATGAAAAATACATCCTCGGGAATGTATTAAATAGTTTAAAAGGAACACATTAAACCTAATTGAACTCTCATAATCATCATAATGAAAAGGAGGAAGCTGAATGTGCTGGGCCTTATCTTCGGAGTAATATACATGTAATTTGCCCACTTAAATAAAAATAGTGTACTTAGTGAGTGAATGGTTTGACTAGATCTTTATTCTGGGAACGATGCAAAAGGACTTTTATAGGAGGCAAAAAAACAGAATCCTAAAGCCTGCTGCGAAAGAGGGAAAAATATTAAAACAGGTTTAAATGAACTTAATTTATATGCAAATGAAAACAATTGTGGAAGTCTTATTAGCATTACTTGGCATTAGCGCAAACGATTCCTGAATCCTTTTGGATTGACTTCCCCTCCTCTCAGACAGACAAAGCAAAAGTGAGCTACCTGTTCTGGAGAAACTGTCTGGCACGTATTCACAGGGCAATTTCCACAAATCTCAAGCAGCCGATTTTCCTTTTAGGCAACTTAAATTATCTATGAAAAAACACATTAACAAAAGCCATCTGGAGAGCGTATCAGGAACTTAAAAAAACTAAGAATTAAAAACCTGCAGGTGTGAAAACATCCAGCGCTGTTTATCATGCTGTTGTGCTAAGAGTTTCTCGCCTGCTTTAATTAAACCCTGATAACAACAGGTCAGAGATTTTAGAAGTTGACTGCATTCACACTTTTCACTAAAAGGAAACTTTCCCTGGCAAAAATCTGGCAGGATTAATTTCTAAAAGCAAAGAACTGAATTTAAAGTACAAGACTACAAGGACTCAAAAGCACTTCAGCTCTATTTTTACCATCTCTACTGAGCCCTGTCAAGTACAACAGGTTTTTACAACACTAATCGGCATTTTGCACAGCACTTTTCAACCAGAAAGACCCAAAGCTCTTGAACAAGTAGGAGGGAACCCACTTCACGCTGCAGTGGATGGTGACACACAACAGCTGTTCTATCCCGATCTTCATTGCACAGCAGATACAATCCAGAAGTGAGAAATTCCTTTACAAATAGTGACAAGAGCCTTTTTGAAACAATCACACGTGATCAGCACCTCAATGAAACATCTCATCTGAGGAGCAGCACCAAAACAGCACCCCCAGACTCCATTAAAGGACAGTGCCAGTCACCAGACCACAACACTGTTTCTAGCAGAATTTGGTTACACACTCCTGGTTTGTGGGGTTTTGCAACAAGCTATCCAGCCATGTTGGGAAGCTGATATTTTGTTTTTTTTCAAGAAATGGCTGGATGAGATTCTTAGATCAATTAGCTGCAATCAACCAAGCAAGCCAGAGGCCCTTTTCAGCGGGAGCACGTATATTTCCTCAGATATTGGATACAACTCATCTTTACTTGACTTATACCATACATGAGCATTGTGGTATCAGCTTTGCTGTAGCAATGCAAGCACTAGCAGTGTCTCTGTGGCTTGAGCCCCTCTGAGCACTGACTCCTCCACCTCCCCGCTGTCCTGCCTCTATGGCAAACACACGTGGCGCTGGTAGGACAAACAGTGAGCAACACCTGTGCAGAGAGAAAGCAAAAGGTTAAGATTTCAGTCCCTTCACTTTGAATCGCCGTCTCCTTTGAAACTGAATTTCCTGCCTTTTTTCTGTTGCTTGTGTATAACTGAACAGCTCATTAGATTCCCTGTGAAGGAAGACGTTTGCTTTTTTATGACAGTTTCTTAAGGCTTAAAATAGAGATGAGGAGAAGAAATGAACCTGCGCAGCAGCAATGAGACCGATCAGGGGTGAGAGATGGTGACACTGGCACATCTCCTCCCCCCAGGCCACATGCGCCTTTTTAATGAGCAGCCCTGACTGCACTTTCTAAGGGCAATTAAGGGATTCACACACTGTAACCTTCCATGATACACAGTTCTTTTAAGAACAAGCCAGATCTGTGGACCAGACTGAAGGTGACCTTTCCACACAGTGAACTATTCTCCACTGAGAGCACAAGGGGCAGGGATCCCCACTTTCCTCAGCAAAAAGGCCAATCTAGACTGCACATTTGGAGCTGTACTTGATTTTTTCTGCTTTATATACTTTTACCCTGAAACCCTCACAGAAAACATCCCTCCCAGACACTCCTGTGAGGATTACACACAAGAAAGCGAAAGAACTGTGCTCAAGACTCTCAGTGTCTCCTCTCCCAGACTGCAGGTTCATGGCTGCGTGGGAAGATGAAAGCTGGGAGACTAATCCCACCCTGCATCCCCCTGTACGGTTCCTGAAAACCAGGGCTGCGCTACAGTCACCAAATAGCAGTTTCGAGCAGTTGAAGAAGAAACACACCTTGAAGCCCAAACACCTCACTTCTGACTCTGAACACTAACGGACCGTCCTCCTGTTCATGAGTGAGGTTGACAATTAACATGGCATCATGACAGTTAACATGGCATCACTTTCCACCCCCCCCGTGTTTTATTGAATGAAGTGCAGCCCCACCTGGGTGGCCATTCTGCACCAGCTGATCAGGGGGAGGAGTGAGAAACTGCTTCCCCTTCATTCAAATGAACTTCAGGTAAATGACTGCCACCTACTGGCCCACCAGCTCCATTTACAGCAGCCTTCCAACATCCATCCATTCTTTCCGATAAGAAGGCTTTTTTCTGCTGTTCTTATTCAGTGATTCTCAACAACAGGTTTAATTAAATGAATAAGAATCTACTGAAAGCCAGATTGATATAGGTTGTGCAACACCACAGACTACAATAACCAAGGTTACCACCCTGTTGAAGGCTGCTTGTTTGCTTTAGTAATATTGCACAGCAGTACAATCCTGGGGTCTCTGTGTGGGACACATACAGCCTCTTGAAGAATAACCCCCCCCCCCCCAGCATAGCATGGCCATCACTTGAGCTTTTCAATTTTAGAGCACAAAGCCGTATCTGACAACAGCGCCACTTAAAGAGTCAGCATCTGGAATGATGGCATCACTGCAAGTCTAGGACATTTCGTTCCACTAGAAACACTAGAAGGAAGGTTGCCAGCAGTAAAAAGGTTGCTGCAGTGGCCTCACAAAGTAGAAAGCACACCAGTCCAACCTGAGGCTCAATGACAGGCTGCCCAGTCAGCGTGAGGACGGAACACAGAAGTGGTGCAATCCTGCTCCCAAGCCTTCACTGGATTCCTTCTGCCGAGGCCACAAGGCCGAGCTCCATTCAACCGATTCATGGCTTCATCTCCGCAATGGCCGTGGACGGACGAGCGAACAGGTTGTGCGCTGGAAAATGCTCGTCTTGAAACGCAGCCAGAAAGGAAGGGGCTGTGGCAACAGCAGAGCAGTAGAAAAATCTGACTGACAACACTCCACCCCGTAGACACGGGGCATAGGTGACTCACAAAATAACCCATACCCTCCAGTGACCCCCTCCCACCACTGCCCACCTAGCTGGTTCTGTGCAACATGTGCACCACCTGTGGTTAACCCTACCCCACGGATGAGCCTCTTAACGCGACTAACGAAATGAGAACGTAATGTTTCAAAATCTCATCCTCACGTTGACTCAAAACTCGACTTGCACTGGAAAAGTCATGGAAGGAGAGGGCTGATAACAGTCGCTCCTTGTGTAGATTACTGTGATCTCTGTGGGGAGGGTTTCTTGTGTGCCAGACATGCTACAGTATATAACCGGGCTGAGTAAGACATACTGCTGTCTCACTTAAATAGAAATCTGTCTAAAACATAAAAAGGTAACTTTAAACATTCTCCGCATAATATTGTAAATATACTTCTCCAGGTGCCATTTAGGATAATTAAAGGAGATGTTCTTGAGTATAAAAGGTTTTTGTGAATAATGGTTTGCTGAACAGCTACAGAGAGAAAATCACCGTCAGTCTGATCTCGCAGAACTGCACTGTGACTCTCTACACTGAGAAGGTTCAAAGAGATGCTGTAACTCCACAAACTAAACATTTCCATTCCTTTGCAGCTGAGCTTCACGATGTCAGCTCTGGAGCCTCTCACAGGTGAGCTGAGGTAGAGGAAATGAATCTGAAAAAAATGCCACGCAGGTCTGTGCAGGGCTGAATCGGGCTACCTGTACAACTGCAGGGTTTTTTTTAAATGCAGGGGCGTCCAAGGTGTAGCCATTTCTAAAACAATTAGCAACCTGTACAATAAGCATTTCATTGCACTCGTGTATCTGACAAATAAACTGAGCTGAATTCATATTCCAGCTCTGCACCAGGCTGTCAACTGGAATGGTCGCAGAAAAGACTTTCACCTGTATCCACCCTACGTCTCGAGGTCCCAGGCAATCCATTCTCCCCTTTAGAATGTAAAACACCGTAAGATAACAAGGCGACTGCACAACACCGTGTGTGTGTCCGTCCTGGCAGGCTCCCTGTCTCCGCGCTGTGAATTACTCAGACGCCACAGATATTGGGTGATGAATTGCTCGCCATCACTCCGGACAGAGGCGTTTCGTTCCTCCCACAGTGCTGGGGCTTCGGCGGAGACGGGGCCAAACACGGGCTGTGCTCGCCCTTTCATGACACATTTCTGTGACAGTTCCATTATGAAGAAAAATGAATATTAGATATGAAAGGTCTGTCTCCTCTGGAGCGGGTGCCGAAGCAGAACCTCATGTGCTCTCCTTTCCCTGGGAAAACGAGAACAGAAAAAGAACTATAATCAGCCTCATTGTGCCCAAACAGGCTGCTTTAATGGAGCAGATTCGCAGTAAATGCCAGTTTTATCTTCTAGTGGAAGTTAAATTGTCAATTCACCAAAGCCATAATTGTCATAACAATATACATTGAAGAGTTTTTCTTCTCTCTTTCAGATGAGCACAAAATGGTTTCTTAGGAACGTGACAATCCCGCACTAACACACGCTTGATTTTTATTTTGTGTTTTGCAATAACCACAATGATAGCGCTACAGTTGCTTGAAATGACAGCCTAACAAGCACTCAGACGTGCATGTGTGACTTTTTATTACCCACATGCTGCAGCAGCAGCAGCTTTTCTTTGCCGGGAACACAAAGATTTTCCTGAAGACAGTGAACAGTAAAAAAATCGCGGTTCTGCTTCTAAATGAAATTGTACTCCCAGCATGGTTTAGATCCATCCCCAACATCAAACAGCTTTTACATCTCAATCCTATCCACTCATGATTCCAGTGTGAGTTGGTATTATATATATATATTAATATCAGCAGGATGGCATGGGCAAAAGAAATGAAATATTACAACAGTTAAGTCAGTTCTGACAGCAGCCTGAGTGGTGAAATCCACTCGTTGATCAGGGACGATCGTGCAGTTTCTTCCATGAGCAATCCGGGCGGGGAGAAAAAAACAGGCAACAGCATGCAGATGTTTCACAGAACACGGAAACTAATATTCACAACTATCTCAGAAATGTTATGAGTTCTTAAAGCCTAACACGATGCATTCAATCATGTGCACTAGATCCCTAACTTTGACCCCTCTGATGCACTCTAACCTGAATACTAATGATGACAAGAGTAGGCAAGAAAGCTTTTATAAATAATAAACCACAGGTCAGTTTATCCTCTCAGCTGATGCTGCAGAAAAGAAAGCTTTTGGACCCTTAAATAATACATCTGAATGGACAGGTGACCAAGGGCCTGCTGGAAGATGGGTTAAGCTGAAACTACTGTTTTGTTGCTTCTCCTCTCCTGCTACGTTGGTCTCGCTCCATTTCCTCCCTCGGACCTCCCTCTTTTGAGGTTGACCACGTGGTCACAAGAGCTGAATCCATCTTTAATTTCCAACCCGATGGAGCCCGTTTGGCTGTCTAGTAAATCTCCCAGCTGTGCCCACACCTTGTCTCCTCCTCTCCCCAGACCACCCCAAAGGGACCCCTGCAGACACTACACAAACTCCATCAGCTTTGTGCAGACTGTGAGTGAGTCGCTATTCCTCTAGATGACAGAGCTTTTTAAAAGCAAGCAACATCCTGAATTCTGTATCACTGAAACCCATTCAAGAAAGTTCCAAAATGCAATCACAGTTCAATAATGACTTGTTAATTCACAGGACTCTGGTGTCTGCTCACGCAGTTCAGGATGTTGAGAAATCCCAAATATTTTTCTAAAAAGGAGCCATCATCCTGTTTACAGATTATCCGCTCAACACAAACACATCTCACCTACAGCTGGCAGTGACCCAAAGGACCTCAGAGGCTTCCCTTGTCTGAGGTCTGAAATGGTATGTATCATACCTTGAGGGCCTGTGAATCAAGTTAGAATTTAACAGCCTATATTTGTCTGATTGTGAAAATCAAGTCTTTTCTGTGCATAAACACTGCAGTAAAACCAGATTTATCTGAAGTGCTTAGAAAGAGCTATTAAACGGAAAGGGGCATCTAACAAAAAATAAAGGTATAAGGTCAAACTGAACAAATTGTATTTCTAAAGGATTTTAAAAGACAACTATCCTCACAGCAGCAAGAGACATTTTCCAAGAGACATTTTGACAATCTTCCTGCCGTTACCTTTTAAAGCCTCTTCCTCTCTTTGTGCTTCAGCAGTGAGGGCTGACAGGAAAGTACAGGAATCAAGTTTTAATCCTATAAAGCTAAGAAACATCATTCGACTCCTGTGAACAACTTCTTCAGATAAGCACCACGTGACTGAAAATGTCCTTATCGGAACAGATTTGATGATACATTAGAAATAAAATCTAATTAAATGAAGCCCTAGTCAGTGTAAAGTATAATTTAGCGCCAGATTTCAGAACCTCTCCCACAAGATATCTCCATTATGTTAGCAATAAAATATAAAAGTATTGCATCAATCTTTCTGTAGATCAGGAGATCTTTACTGCAATGAAGCCGGTATGAGCATGTACAATAGTTTAACCTTTTTGATGCTTGATTTGGAATTAAAAAATAATTTTATAATTATCCATAAACTTTTTTGCAGCAGTATTTGTTTCACAGGACAGTAAACAGCCTGCTGTTAGTTTCACATCCAGACCACAGACCTGGGCAGATGCTGAAAGCAATCACAAGACAAACAGCAGCTGCATGCATTCCAACATGAAGCAGAGACAGCAGCAACAAAGAGCAGGGTTCAAACAACTATTTCCATGGGATAAATTGCTCCTGCTGCAATGGAGACCTCAGAATAAATGCTCTATTCAGTGTCATTAACTTCTGAGGATGTATGAATCACTGATTGACTTTAAAGTAAATGTGAATGTAAAAATAGGTTTCATAGCAGAGAATGTAACTCAATCGTTTTATCTTGTTTGGCTGTTAGTAGCAAATTGTACGAAACACAAACAAGGGTAGAAGGTACTTCTTTAATACAGAGGGTTGTGGGGGGTGTGGACCAGGCTACCCAGCTAAGTCATCAAAGCCCATACCTTGGCTTCTGTCAAGAAACAGCTGGATGAGATCTTCAGATCATCTGACTACAAACTTCCAACCAGGCCAGATAAGCAGAAGAACCTCCTCTTGTTTGCAATTTTTCTGACGTTCTGAATTGATCTTGCCCAGCTGGTTCCTGAAGGATTCTTGATTTAGACTCCACACATAACCAAGTGCTGATCAAACCAAAACCCTGGAGGATTACATGAAGGAGAAATGAAGGTTTTGGGAACGTCCAAGGCAGCCAGATGAGATCTTACAATTCCAGCTTCACCCATCTTACTGAAAGGAGCTGCTCTATTAGTACATGTTAGCACGTTCACCGGATTCCTGTTGAATCAGATTCCAGACTCACGTGATCATGATCATCCTTCACACACGTTCCAATGAAACGCACACCAGCAGCAGGTCTTCCCCTCAGCAGAACCCAGGAAGAGCAGGAGAAAGGGAAGAAGAACATTCAGCAGTATACTTGTACACCCCATTCACCCAATGTGACCTACAGAGACTAGGTGTCCACTGGGCAGCAGTAAGGACAGGAGCTGGGCCCCCGCATTGCCACTGGACCGCCTAGGCCTCAGGCGTCACCAGCAGGGCCCAGTGCCATCGCAAGCTGTGATCACGTCAGGCAGCTCTTCCACTCTCCTGTCACCTCCTGCTCGCGCCAGCAGGAGCTGTCTCCTGCAGCATCAGTGAATACAGACACCACCTCCGACCCCTTTCATTCCGTCAGAAAAAATACCCAAAAATCTTTTCTCAGCCAGACGTCGGTCATGTTCCCGTTTTTTGTTAGGTAGCCAAGCAGACAAACCTGCTCTCATTAAAAAGCACATGTGGCTTTGTGGAGGAGAAGTAGGGTATTCGCAGCACAGCAGTGCGATCTTCACGTTTGAGAACAGGAACAAGCACGGGGCAAGGTGCACTTCCTCTTCTTGCTGACCCTGTGGCCGGCTGAAGGCTCTGCCTGGCTGCGACTCCACAGGGATTCTACAAGACAGAAAAGAGGCAGGAGTCTTCGAGACACGCACAGCAAGAAGCCAGTGCAAAAATGGAAAAGTGCACAGCCTCCATGCAGGTTTGAAATTCACCTCCACCCTCACTACGATTCCAAAGCTTCAAAGCTTTTAATAGCAGCACCACAAGAATCTAAACGCCAGTTCTAAAAGGAGCTGGCGCAACTGAGAAAGATTTTGCAGTGACTTCACCGTGGAGCACGACCACATGGCCTACACAGCATTCTCCTGGCGCCACCTGGTGGCAAACATCGGGTTTTATTCTTTCAGCACATTGTCAAGCTGGACATGTATTCAATGGGCATGCCTGCAAACTAGCTCATAAGAATTTGAATGAAAATTATTTTCTGTATTTTAAACATCCACTCAGTTACACTGTTTAATTATAGAATAACAGAAACTGCAAAGTTCAGCATCAGCTTACTTCTTCCTATAGTTCTCACTGTTCCAGACAATGTTTTATATTTAACTGAAATGTAGAGTAATGATAAAAGGCAGTTTTTATATAACATACATAAACTTACAAATGCACATGATGAAGAGGATCCTGGGTTTGAGAAGCACAGGTTTAAACTGGCCTATATCTTATTTCTGCCACATATAGAGAAGAGCAGTTAAAGGCACAATGGCCTTCAAAAAGCAATGAAGATTCATCATGCATCATATAACAAGAAAAAAGCAGCCTCAAAGAACCAGTAACTGCCTGACTCATTATAGACCTTAAGATAACAATAACGAGCTCATTAGCAGCTCACAGTAGTACTCACCTATCCTGTACAGACACCCAGATGAGATCCTGCCTGCTACACTGATTTATTTGACAAATAACTCACAGCAGACTTGGCCCAAAAACCTCAGAGCAAAAAAGACAACATGACGTCAACTTTTTTCTTTTTTACCTCTGAAATATAACAGATTAAACAGGAGCTCACAGGAAAAAAATCAACTGGTACTACTCCAACAGAGACTCATTCAATTGCACAAAGGAACAGAGCATGTATTCGTTTTTAGTCACTAGTCCAAAAATTAATTTTCTAAGATATGTCCTCTGTACCCTAGAAAGAATTGATTAGATGCTGTTATTAGTTTGGGGGAAATGTTAGTTGGTCTGTTTGCCAGTTTGTAAAATTTCACTTTATGAATACATCCTGAATACACAAGTGAACAAATCTTTCTCACCTCTCCAGTATTAACCCCAGTTTATTTCTAATAATATGGACAGACCCATGAAGACAGACGAAGGATGTAAAATATATAAAATAAAAACATGAGAAGCAAGTTAAAATATAAAAAACTCTTAGTTTATTTTCATATGTACATTTCAAGGCACTGATAAACTGTACATGTTTTTTCCTCCTGGGGCATTTGAAATTTGAATAGTGTCAAGATTTGTCACTAGTCAGGTGCCACTTAAAGAAACAGTTAACTCTAACACTGTCACACTGGAAAAAACCAAGCAGCACTGCCATATAACAAACCATCGGTTGCACCACTCTGTCCGATGGGGGCTCAACCAAACATCTACTAACCTTCTTCAGAACTTCAATCTTTCAGCCACTGAGCTTTCACTCGGCTCACATTCGGCTGAAACATCAAAAGCCCAAAGAACACAATGAATGAACTGGTTAGAGGATATTCACAAGCTTGTGGGATTTTCCAAACAAAAACGCAGTTTGAGCAGGGCTCAGAGCTTTTTTTTTTTGCATTTGTGCAAACTGGCCAACAGGCTCAACACCGTCTTGGATGCTGGATGAGCTACGTCACCAAGCCTTGCTCACAAGCTGGTCCAGCAAGATGGAGCACTGCGGCAATTAGTTAATTAACTGATGCAAGATACTGGTCATCAGTCGTCAGATCTCCTGAGCTTTGATTACACGTTGCTGAATCGAGGTTATCGAATTCAGAAAGCGTCTCTGGTTTCCAGGAGAAAGCTCAACACAGCTTTTATTAAAACTTCAGTGTGCAAAGGGGTGTCATCAGTGCTGGTGCAGCAGATAAACTGTCAGGCTGTTGCTAGGATACACACTTGATGCCTCCAAGTTCATGCTCGATAGCTGTTTCACTGGAGAGTCTACACATTGTGCTCTTGAAGGTAACAAAGCATGCCATTTAGGTTATGTGCAATAATTTCCTTTTTATCAAAGCACGTTGTGTTTGTAATTTATGCAACATGAAATGTTAAATTAGTCAGGAATTATGGACAATTAAAAATGTTTTGCTTTTGAGACAAAAGTAATCCTACTTCAGAGGATGACAGTCCTTTTCAATTGCTGAATAGCCTTTTTTATATAACCAGAATTGGTCAAAATTGTAAGTTATGCCCTTTTAACTATTAGTTGTAGCAGCTTTTTCAGTAATAGGTTCTTCTGTTAAAAACAGTCAGCCCTTCAAATTGAAAATAAAACATCAAGGCACTGATTTCTGTTGGTCAAGTATTACAGCATCACTTAAAATCAGCCAGAAGAAAATATTACACACAACCAAGCTTCAGTAATTATACACTGAATGTAGTTCACAAAACTGACATTATTAGAAAGCCACCTTAAAACACATAAAAAGAATACATATATAGAAACGCTAAAAACGTAGAAGAAAATAGATTGGAGGAGTTGAGCACGTCTAAAGCATAGAGAAAATGAACCATCTGTTTAAAAAATACAATTGATAAAGAAGTGTAGATGCTACACATCTTAGTATAAAATGTTGCCACGTTATTATCAGCATAGGAAAGGTGATAATTTGGCAACTACCTAATGCAGACTGAGTTTTTCTTGGTCTTGGGAGCTTTCTGTTCCATATGGCTCTCACAGCCCTGGAGTAGCTCTCCATTCCAGCTAAGACATCCAGCACAGATAAGACAGATCAACACTCATCTTTCTTGGCTCAGGTGAGACTGGACATTTTATCTGGAATCTCTGTCGTAAGCAGAGAGAATATAGTGACTTTCAACTCATATTCAGAGAAGTGGTACACAAGCAGGATAACTATTTTCACCTAGTGTAAGTCTTCCCAAGGATATTTCCCAAGAAAAAGTCTGTGCCAAGCCTTGTCTGTTAATAAAGCTGCAGACTGCAGGCTGTGATGGCGAACAGAGAGTTCCCTGCATCACAAACAGGACTGGATTGGAGCTGGGATGTCTCCGAGCGAATAAGAAGAACCTCGCACTGTGGAAGTGCCAAGAGGATGGGTTCCTGGTGTGTGGAGTGAGGCGCTGGCAGGGGTCAGCGGTTGGCCCTCTCGCTGACCACGTCCTGCAGGCGCTTCAACAGGACATCTTCGTTCTCCTGGCACAGCCTCTTGGCGGGGGACTCCGAGTCGCTGTCCATGGTGAAGGCCCTCTTCCGGCTCATCCTCTCACCCTGCTTGATCATGCTGTTGATGTCTCTCAGGTTCTGAGAGAAACATCAGAGAGACCTGGGTTAAAGTCAATCGCTGCCTTTTGCACAGATATCTGGCTAAACGGGTTACAAGGCACAAGGCTTCTTCTCATCTACAGACTGCCCCCAAGCACTGCAGGTCAAATACACCGACAATCAGACAAAAAATGGCTTTGAAAGCAAAAGTAAAGACCCAAGAAGACTGCAACACAATCTATCAACAACACAAGTAATAATACCAACACTTAATAGCACAAATTATTTTTCCCCCCCAAGAGATAACATGAAACAAGAAGAGTTTTAATTTGCTTCAGCTGGGGCTCAAGTCTTACAAACATTCATAACCCATTTGGAATGACAATAGCTTAGAATCACATCGCTTTGCAAATGTTTTGGAATAGTGGCACCTAAAAAATACTTCAGTCTATCTGCTTGTGTTGCAATTAATTCATTCTCCTCCGCTCAATTTAAAGGGCTTCCCTGTATCAAAAGGATCAAGAACAGGGTACCATTAATAATAGCCTTTCCTTCCGTGACTCGGAAATGGAAGAAATGGACATACAGTAGTTCACAGCAACACTCTGGTCCGACAACTGAACTGTCGGATACAAAGACAAATCTACAAAGCCAAATGGCATGTTTCATTGATCTAACACACATTAGTGGAAAGGTGCAGAAAGAAATATCGGAGCCTCTGACAAGCCAGTGTCAGGAGGCGAACAGCGTTACCTTGGAGGGGCTGCCACTGAACCTGTACGTGATGGCGGAGGAAGGGGTGATGCAGGAGCCATTCTTGTGAGGGGAGACGTACACCGAGTGCCTCTGGGAGACGCGACGAGGAGACAGGGGCTGTGCTCTCACCGACGGGAATGGAGACAAGGGCGGGGCCTCTCCCTGCAGGAGAGGAAAACACGAAACTCGAAACCAGAGCCGCCTCCAGGAGCGCCCTCACGTGGCCGGCATCCTGTCTTCAAGCGCATTCGCTCTTCACTCACAACCAGGCGTTTATAGCCAAATCCCCACCTGCCACTTACTCATTCTGATAACAGGCTCTAAAAGATTCAAGGGAACCAAGACACTCAACCAATATGAATCCCTTTAGTTTGTCCTAATTAAGCTAAACATTGTCCAGTAGAAGTCATGTGTAATGTTTTGTGATGTATTCTGATGTACAGGAGCAATGCGTGTCCATAAGACATTTTCCCCAGGGGGACAATAATGTTTATCTTATCTAAACATTTAAACACGCTATTTATCTGGAAGTGGTCAAGTGAGGCTTGGTTTTGGTATGTATGTTCAATACAAAGAAAATGGCAATTTAAAAAGGCAGGAAAATTGAGAAGAGACCACCTATTTTATCTGAGTATTCTTTATGGTCTATTCTATAAAGTCACGATGTGCTAGAATAAACATGCATCCGGTACCCTGTGGTCAAGGCTTGATCTTGCGTATTTCTGGGCAAACTCTTTCATTCTCAGCACGTAGACGGTATTGTAGAACTGGATGAGGTCGCCTCTGTCCTCTGCCGGGCCTGCCCTGGAATCGCTGTCCCCTGCAGTGGCTGCCGCTGTCCCAGGAAGAAAGGCAGCTCAGAAAGCAGCAAAGAAACGAGAAACCCGAACAGACGCAAACCATAAACGAGCGTCAAAACGCTCTGCTACGACCCGAGATGTGTTCACACAGCGCACAGCTGTTGTGGTTATCAAACTCCGTCAGGCCGAGGATTACAGAGCTCGGAAAAGCAGCATTCAAACATTCCTGACAAAAGTCCTACCATCACGGGCCATGCTGGGAATATCGCTGTCCATGCTGTGCCTGTCTGGCGACATCGCTCTAGGCCGCTCCTTGAGAAGGACGCTTCTGTATACCTGAACAGAAAAGACGAGGGACAACAGTGTGTTAGCGGTCCTGCACTTGATGGACATCAGAAAGGATTCACTCGAGAGGAGGCCTTTCGACCCCCAGCTGACTGACCTACGTGCCTCTTCCAGTCACGTCTGGAAAGACAGCAGCTTTAACAACATGGCTGGATGCACGCATGACCCTCTGCAAGGGGGGTGCACCCCCTAAATAAACGCTCTTTAATTCTCCCGAATCCTCCAGTCCTTGCTTCAGGGCAGGGAAGTTATCTGCTGGAAGAATTTGGCAAGTACCATCCAGAATTTCACCTGTATGTACTAAAATAAAGCAAGTGTATTTTTTTTAAACAACACCCTAAACCCTAAACAGAATGATTCCTCAAGGTGCAGATATCAGGGTAAGTGCCTTGTGATGTTGAGGACGTATTACTTACATGACTGCTGGCTTGGGGTTGGCTGCGGTAGCACTTCATGATATCCTGAAAGGTGTGCTCTTCTTTGGTTACCTGCAAAAGAAACCGGCAGGTTTAAAATCCTTAAAAATAAATTAACAAGTAGGAAAGTGCAGTTTGGAAACTTTCAAGTATGGTGAAAGGCATAAAGTACTTTAATATTTGCATTAAAGACCTTACCTTCGAGACAATATAAACAGCACAGAGCAGAAGCTGGTCTAAGTGCCTGTCCTTCATCAGGTCACTGCAGTGCACCAGTGAGCACTCAAAACACGTCCAGATCTTCCTCCGCAGCTCTGCAGAAATGTCCAGTTTCAGGCAGAGGTCACGTAACCGCACACTGGCCAGGTGGTACACCTGGGAAGGGGGTAAAATTAAAATGAAAAAAGTCTGTTTTTATCAACACAACAAAAAGTTACACCCTATGCAATGAGGCCTGCTCCCAGCTCACCTTCCTAAAGAACAGCGCCAGGGAGCCAGTCCTCCGGGGTTTGCCAGCGTTGTTCTGGGGTTCTGGTGCGGACAGGCCCGGCCCAGAGCGGCTGGGGGAGGCAGGGAGCAGAGCCTGAGCTGTGAGGGGGCTGCTTTCTCCGGGCTGCACCTGTATAAACGTGATTCCACCCACCTCATTTGCCACACCTGGGAATACACGAGAGCACGAGATGTATGATGTAAGAGTTAAATCAGATTACTCTGACACAGAGGAGGGTTAATGAGCAAAATTCTAATGTGGGATCAGTTGAAATACAGCCGATTCAAACAAAACTGATTTTTTGGATGTCCCTGTTTAGATATATACAAATGCTTCAGATACCATGTATTGTATTAGCATGTAACTTTTATCTGAAGTACGATTCTGATTTTCTGCTTTTATACTCTCTGAACAAAAGTCTACCTATACAAATACACAGTAAATATTTAATATTAATCCACAAGGAGAAAGAAATTAGCCTTCGAGGTCCCATTCACAGATGGGTTTTGAGATTCCTAAATAAAACAATTGGAATAAAGCTTTACTGCATGAGAAATGGCAACTGGTAACGGAGAAAGACCACATCCTGCAAAAAAGCTGAAACGGCATGCGCTCGCTCAATGCTGGTGCAGGCTGGGTCCTCACCTTGCACAGGTATGGTGAGCTGCTGCCCGCTGGTGGTGGTGACCATCGCGGCCGCCATGGTTAACAGGGTGCGGGCGGGAGACAGAGGCGTGGCATCTCGAGGGGTGGAGGGGGTGGAGACGATCTTCAGCCCTCCCCCATGAGAGATGGAGATCTTCTTGAGTGGCGACTCAGGCAGATTATCGTCCCCGAACAGACGTCTCTTGGCACTGCCGGCAGTGGGGGAACTGTAGCGGTCGTGCAGAGAGATTGGGGAAGGGGGGACATCTGCAGAGAGGTCAGACAGGTGTAAGAACACTGCTCAAACCCCACAGGTGCGTATAGCAAGTGGACCACTATTAACTTTTTAAGTACAAGACAGTTTTTAGGAGCTGGCAATAACTGCGAGCTGATCAAGTATTCCTAAAAAACAGCTCCTTCTCAGTGTAAACCTCGAGACCCTAGACACCTTGAGGGCCGAGGGCCCCGAGCAGCACAGTGGAGGTGCTCACCTTTGCGCGCGCTCCCGCCCAGGCCTGTTCTCACCTCCCTCAGCCGCGGGTGAACGATGGGCGACAGCGCGACCAAGGGCAGGTGGGCGGGTCCACTGCTGCCACTGCCGGTCTCAAAATTGCTGGGAAAGGTTACCTGGAAAAAATGACAACTGTTGCATTGAGCACTGAAGTGCGTACGGCTGGGCTGACCAAAGAGCTCACTGTGCGCTTTAACTACTTCAATAGTTAACTACTACTGGCCTAGATAGCGCTTCCCTTAGTTTGCTTTCATCTTCTCAGACCTAAAGACCTTAATTCCAAACAAAAGTTGCAAAGAATTTCATGCACCCCTTCCTAAATCATTTGCCTTTAACGTAATGGACAAAACATGCATTGCTGAGATTAAGGCGCAGGCCAGGGGTATCCAAATAAATTCCTTGAGGGCTGCTGTGTCCTAGCTTTTTACAATTTTAGTCATTATTATGTCCCATAGGTAACAGTCACCACTACTTCTCGAGTCCTGAAGTCCGACAGAAACCAGCCCCATCGCTGGTGGGACGCCCCTGGGCCAGACACACCCTGCACTGTCACAGCAGCTTTCCTTACCTCCTCCACTGTGGGAACCTTGCTGTGGGCTGCCTCCAGCGCCTCCCACAGCGCCGAGCCGCTGCTCCAAGCACGGCACTCCAAGATCTGCTCCTCAATATTGTTCAGGTGCTTGACCATATCCCTGGAGAGTCCTTCTTCTGACCGGATAAACACTTCTATCACCTGGCACAGAGCGTGAACAATGAGAACAAGACAGAGGCAGAGAGGGAGGAAAACAGGGACACGGGACTGGAAAATCAGGACGAGACTTACACAAACACACTGTACTCAAACCCCTCTTATGAAACAGAATGTCTACTGAATGAATTACAATTTTACTGCTTTTTTATGTTATTTAAAAATATTTTCCGAAAACTACATTTCCAAAAGAAAATGGAAAGAGACACCGACCTTCACACCTTCATCCGTCAGAAAAGGTTTAACGAACAGGCCTTCGGCTTTCACAAACACACGAAAAAATGCAGGGAAAACCGCGCCCCCCCGCCTACCTTGTAGAAGTAGAAAGGCCGCAGATTGAGGATGTCGATGATCCAGGGGAAGGTCCGCTGAGAGCTGTAAGCAAACAGCACCACCTCCAGGCAGCAGGCCATCAGGGAGCGGTGGAAGATATCCTGCTCCAGCAGCACCTGAGACAGAGCAGAACTGCTGAGCAAGAGCGAGCAGCAGGAATGCACGGCGGTGACAGAATACCATTCGAAACATGCTCAGACACAGGGCTTTGGCTTTGAAAACAAATGTGCTCTAGTTCATTTGTATTTCGTTTTTTTTATTAATTTGGTTACAAAGAGCCACCATGTGAGGAGCTCAATTCATTAAGGCTCCTCTTTTTTGGCCATAGAAGATTATGAAACAATAAACCTATAAAAGGTTTTCTGACTCATAATGGATCCCATTTATAATTATTTTTGTAAAACATTTTTTCCAACTGTCTTCAGCCACTTTGTATTACCAGAAATATATTAACTATGTTCTGGATACTAAATGGCAATCTGAACTCTAGCCACTAACATGAAAAACATAATTCCAGATACTTGAGAAAAGGCAAACTAAGAATTATGATGAAATATGTGTCATGTTACATGTTTCAACTAACAGCCTTTCAAGAGCTCATGAACTTACAGCCATGTCTTTGCCATGCAGCCTTCGTGTTTCCAGAACCATGACGTTTTCCAGTATTTTATAATAGAGAATTTCAGCAAGTTTTAATCGGTTATCTGCAAAATCTGAAAAAATACAGCAATTAACCTCATGCAATAGCTACTACAAATGTTAAAATGACAATATCAGAACTTTTTTCTGATCAAAGAAAATGTCTTTAGAAAAAGCATTCATATAGAAAAAAATCTTTCAACTAACAACACAGACGTTGTAAAGCAATAATGATGACTTTTATAAGCTTCTGATAAGCATGTTCTTGAGATATGGTTTCCTGCAGCTGTAAATGAAGGTTCTCTCACCCATGTGAGATGCAGCATGATCCTCAGTGACTCGAGTGTAGTGCTGACGGAACAACTCTCCCAGAGTCTTCACCCGGTTTAAAATTGTTTCTGTGGGGTCTCGGGAGCAAGACCTTTAGCAGTGGGAAACAAGAATTGCAATTAATCAAACAACACTACTAAAAAAGATGCCAATCACATAACACTACAAAAAAAACAAGATTTAATACCACTGACTGAGAAACTGATAATGCCACACCCATCCATTAAAGGCCGGGGACAAAAATACCCCAGATGTTTTGAGATTAAGAAGTGGTCAACAGAATTTGGTCTAGTTAAATTTGTCAGCTTCACCGATGAGCCCAAAATAGAAAACAAAGTAGGGGCTATAAAAGGAACTCAAGAACACTTAAATATTTCAGAAAAGATTTCGCTGATGTTGAAATCATTTAATCTTCTAAACACTGTGGGGAAGCAATTTAAAGGGCAAACAATGTATATCATATTGACAGATGCAGAATTAATCAGTGCGCTAGTAGGATCTCATTCACAATATTGTGCATAACTTTATTGGCCAGGCAGTCAAAATGACCTCCCTCTCTTCTTGTACTTCATAAACAATAAATAAATTCAAAAGACAATATCTGGAACACTCAGGTTAATTATTTTTAGCCTTCCCCCGCTGCTCTAACATCTCCAGTAGTGTTAACACACAGGACAGCAGAGGACACTGGGTCCCAGCAGAGCTCTGCGGCTAGGCCCGCCGTGCTCACCGGAAGATCTGCAGCAGCTGCTCGCTGGGGGCGTTCCTGAGCCCCGTCACCATGCCCTGCAAGCGACTGACGCTCTGCGTTGCTGAGGAAACGGGGGTCACGATGGCCTCTTTCTCCTTCAGGTATCGCCGGCCGGTCAGGGGTGTGGAGGGTGCAAAGGACCGTGCCTGTGGAGAAGTAGTCACCGGGCCTCAGCTGCATTCCTTTATAGCTGTTCTCCAAGCGGTTTGCATGCAGCCTCACTCTCGATACAACAAAAGCCAGCATGAACATCACAGGTGCACTGCTCTGACTCATAAAGCAGAGTCTCATCCCAGTTGAATTCTATTACTTAACCTCAAGGCTTGAGCAGAAACCGATATAATGAGATGTCAATATTAGAGCCTTGTGATGGGTAAGGGAGATTTTAGATTAGGGACTCTTAACAAGAAGTCCTAGTCCTTTCCCAGATACAGATTCAAATACATTTGCAAAACACTAGTCAGCGATTAGAAGGTCTCCCTTTGAAGATCAGACATGAATACCATCTTAAATAACATTTGAAGACCATCTGCAGTAGCCTGTGAACCCATGGCTGCTGGCCAATGAGGAGCTGGTACCTTGTCGAAATGCTGCTGAAGGTTGCACTCCACCTGCATACGAGCGGACAGCCGGCCCTCAGGGGGCTCCACAGACACCTTGCGGGGCGTCCCGATCTCCTCATCGGCGTCCGCCCCCAGGAAGACCCTCTCGTCGAAATCCCCCACTGTCAGCACATACTCCTCATACTCCCTGTTGACTGCCTTGCTGTTGTGACAGAAACAGGGATTCAGAATTTTTCTCAGCATTCACCAGGGGCACAGAAAAGAGCCAACACAAAACCTAAACAAGGTGGACAACCTTCAAATTTGTTAAAAGACCGTAGCTTAATTACAGAACAGATCTTGATCAACTATATTTAACTGCGATAAGAACTGCTCGACTGCAAATGCTTGCAATTAAAAAAAAAAAGGAACTAACCCTTCCCAAACTTGCTTTAAATTAAAAAAATAAAACTTAAATATAATTACTTGCAAATAAAGCTCTGTTCAAGATGAGCATAACGATGCCAGAGCTGCTGTTAACCACTACAGCAGTTGCTAGTTGCTGACAGGCATCCGACTTACTTATTGTCAATGAAGTTGGTAGTGTCAAGCAGTTCAGTCAGGGTCACTTGGTTTCCTCTCAAGATCTTAAAAAAAAGAACAAGCAATATAACTATCAATACATGCCAGTACTGTACCTTATTAAGATTAAACTTACAATTATATCCACTTGCTAAAAAATACATCTTTAAAATGCTAAAATACACTATACATCAAAAGAAACCTTTTTACTTCCAACTATATAAATTTCACAAAGAATGTTTGCAGGTTCTTGGTCACTGCAGTAAATCAATTGGTTGTTAAAGAACATTTGTTGTCAACTGTGAATGTGACAGGCCAGTAGCAAATAGTTGCCACTATTTGAAGCAAGTCAAGCTCTACATCTGAGACTTGTGCTTTGCTGTCCTGTTCCTCTCGCAGAGCCTGGACAAGCAGGTGCCTGTTCACAGGTCTCTGAACCCCAGATGCTTTGTCCCAGGTCATCCTACAAATGTTCAGTGTGGCTCAAATTCAACTGTCACGTTCTCATCTTGCAAGAAAGCTAAAACCTGGGGAAAAGTTGATCAAAATTCAGGACAGACAGTAAAGGTCCAATGTATGAAAAAGATGTTACCTGTCTCTCAAAGAGTTTATTAATGTAAGGCTTGAAGTAATGCTCTTTGATTCCCTTAGCCTCCACCACCAGTCCATCGTGGAGCTCACAAAGCTTGTCGATGACACAGAGGGGCTCCTCAGGGGCACTATAATCGGGGCTGTGGTAGTCTTTGGGCAAACCTGCAAAACAAAGAGTCGACACTTAAACAACGAGAGGAACATTGTGCATCCCAAAAAGTGTCCATTTGTTACTGCATGCTGAACTACTGTCTGGATGACTTAGCTTCAGTGTAACAGGTTAATCAATGAGAAATATAAATGAATTAAACAGTACTACTACAGCCAAAATGAATTAAACAGTAAGAGTTCAGTTACCCAAATGAATTCAAGAGAATGCACAACAAAAAACATTTACGTGAAAAAGAGTAAGATTCTTTAGAGAGATTAAATTGTTTTCACTGGAGTAGGTCGTAAGAGCTTTCAAAACCCCTCCAGTGCAGAACTCTTGAGACAACCAGTTTCTTAATTAATAATTATTAGTATCAAAAGAACCAGTAAGATTTAAGTGTATAAAACACTGCAGTGGAGAGCGTGAAGGCTGTATATTCAGACCCCAAGACCCCAATACGCAACAGGCCCGGCCCGTTACCTTTAAAGAGAGGGTTGATCAGATCCTTCCTGTTTGGGCACAGCAGTGCATTCCCAAACACCAAGTCCAGGCAACAGAGCAGGAGGTGGTACGAATTCACCAGGTCGTCCCCGATCATGCGGAAATTCCCTGAGAACAACAACAGGTAAATTGGCGAAGTTCAAACGTTACTGCTGTTATATGCATAAATGTAAATCAGATCTGCATGCTGAAAATTGATAAAAACATTACCTTTTGTGTACACAAAGAGCGTCCAGCAAAACTTAAAAACGTCACTGACGTGGCAGGGAAGGCGCCTGACGGAAGAAAAAAACATTCAGGTTTTATATTGTTCCTTAAATAAATAAAGTAGTAAGTAAGGCGACTGAGACAGAGGCAGACTCTGTGGCTGCGTCAAGGAGCCTAAAACAATGCCAGTGAATAGTCAGGCTGTCAGAGTGAGCAGCGTCACTGAACAATTCTAACTGCCTCACAGGCAGGATGGGACTCACAAGAGGTTTCTCTACCCTTGAGAGTGCCCCCTGGTTCTGGTAAAAGACCTGTAGCAGCCCTGATAGTGACTTCATTAACAACATCAGTCCCACCTTGGTGGAGTATTAGAAGAGAGGAACTGGCCATTCTGAAGTAAACAGCAACGCTACCCCGCGCTCCAGCTGCTGCAGGGATGGCGGCTCCAAGGCCGCGCGGGGACAGAGAGGGGGTCGTACCTGTGCTTCCTGCTTCGGGCCGGCCGAGGCGGCTCCCCCTGAGGATCCTGAAACATGTCCACAAATATTGGCTCGAACTTCTTGAAGATCACGGTCGAGACCTCGAAGTTTCTCTCCAGGCGTGCTATCCTCTCCCGGAACTCCCGGGACAAACTGGACATGTCCGCCCACTTCTTCATCTTACTGAAGAACTGTATTAAGCTGGGGTCCGGGCGAGAGACAAGAAACGGGGAGACAGAAAACAGAGCAGGTTATGTCGGGGAATTCAACTGCAGAGACACATGTTAGAACAGCTTTTCTAGACCACATGAATAAAAAAACAAACATTCTTAGTTGGTCTTTTCTGAGAGGGAGTCTTTATTATCCCCGAGGGGGCAATTTGTTTTACAGCAGCAGTGCTGGCGTTCAGATGGGCGGAAAAAGGGTAACGGTTAAGGTTAATCCGGTGACCTGGGGAGAGTGGGGGCTCACCTGAGCTTGGAGGACCTCAGGATCCTGGTCAGGGAGACACAGTTGCCTTCCATGACCCCCTTGCCCACTGTGGGGGTCCAGCCCTTCCTGCAGGCGGCGTAGAGAGAGCAGGCGAGCCAGTGTGCCACTTCACCCTGCAGGATGAGCAGAATATTATTATATTATCTTATTTCCCATAAATACAATAGGATTCTTATCTACACTATTCTCTCAGGACATTCGCAGCACAGCAGATACCACACAATACATTACAAAACATAGTGACAGAATGTACAGACAATAAACAAAACAATAAATACATGGTATAACCTAATAACAACAATCCTTAGGATGAGTATCACAGACCAGAACCTCCAGAGTAGCTACACACAGGATAAAGGGCATTTTGATAAGTGAAAACCCCCTCTCCCCTGTCACAGAGCTCCTGGATTTGTCTTTCCTTCCATGCGTGAATGGGTGTGGGCTTCATATTACAGATGGGAGGGTACAGCCATCGTCAGTTTGCGTTTCAAGAATGTCTGTTCCAGCCGGGTCAGTTTTTTCTTTGGGGGGAGGGAGACTGCTCCGAGTTTAAAAAGATGCTGAACACCTACCGACTCCCCAACAAGCATCACTGTTACCAAGAAGAAATACGAGTAGCTGGCTGCATCAGCATGCATGGGCGGTGTGGTGGCTCTGTGGCTCAGGATCTGCGCCTGTGGCTGGAGAGTTGCCGGTTCAAATCCCGCGGCCGGCAGAGGAATCCTACTCGGTTGGGCCCCCGAGCAAGGTCCTTAACCCCAGCTGCACCAGGGCGCTGTACAATGGCTGACCCTGCGCTCTGACCCCAAGCTTCTCTCCCTGTCCGTGTGTCTCATGGAGAGCAACTTGGTGTATGTGAAAAGACAAATTTATTCCAGGCTAAAATGTATTTCTTATGAAGAAATTGTGTATGGCTAATGAGGTGATCTCCTATCTTCTTCTAGGCTGCAAAGGAACAGGTAAAGGTTTATTCCCTGCTGAAAAAGAGGTGCCCCATGAAGGAGGCTCCGCAGAGAAAACGCTGCTTTCCTTTTCAGCCTGGAAATCACCTTTACCTGCGCCTCTGAGATAATAAATACTTCGCGCTTCGGGACCTCGAACTGAAAATGCGCACAGCCAGCCACTACGAACACAAGCAAGAGCAACACACAACACACAACAACACACGCCGTCCCCCCCCCTGCGCCGCGCCGGCCAATGGCGCCCCGGCAGCCCCGTGTCTCCCACACACGCCCCTCGCTTCCCTTTAAAGCCCCGACCAGCCCCTGTCCTCCCGTGTCCCCGGTTCGGAAATCACATCAGAACTCCGACATCTTCCCCCTGACGCGGCCGGCACACAACAGACCGGGCTGGGCCAGCGATGTCAGCCGGGACCCCCACGTAAACAAACACAGAGTCGCCGGGCGGGCACGGTCCTGCTCCTCCGCTGCGCACAGGAGAGGCGGAAGACAGCGGGGTGCGGGGAAACAGACCCGTTTCGGGGGGACAGACGGGGGTGTGTTGTTTACAGACTGCGCGACCCTGGCGGTGCAGCTCAGCTGCCGAAGTTCATTCCGCCGGCTGCGCGCTAACAACGACCTCCGGGGGGAGGGGGGCGAGAGAGACACCAAAACACAAAACGACAATAAGACAGACAAACACACACACACACGGACACTGCCGAAGAGAGCTTCCCGGGCGCTTACTGCGTTTGGAATTAAAAAAATAAAACCCCGTAAAGACGTCGCAGCGGCGGCGCATCCTGGGTCTGCCTCACCTCCAGGGTGTATGTGTCCCAGATGGCCGTGAAACTCTGGAGGGCTTCCTTGCCCGTCTGCTCGTCCATGTTCAGCTCCTGGCACAGCGCCTCCAGGGTCCGCCGGACGTGGCCCTCGTCCACTTTCCGGGGCTCGGACCCGGCCTCCGTGCCGACTTCGGGCATTTCTCCGCCGCCGGGTCTATTCGCCGAAAGCGCAGCCTGTTTACCTCAGCGCAGCCCCCCGCTCCGTCCCTCCGGCTCCAGGACCGCTATCCCACAATGCCGCGCGGCCCCAGTGGCGCGAAAATCCACCCCGTCCTCCACCGCCGCCGCTCAAACATGGCGGCCCCAGGATACACACTGTAGTCTACCGAAGTTTCTGTCTTTGTCTCTAATGTGGTGCTGTATCGGTCCTCCGTTAGATTAACAGTTTGGATAAAGGTATAGAGAAGTCGGTCAACTCTGAATTTGGTAATTAGGTTATTCCAATGTTTTAAAAGATTATTTTTGAACGATTTAAATCATTCATACCCGTAACCATATCATTATTTAACACTTGACTTCCATGCAAATATGTATTTTGTTGTTCCTGTCGGTTTTTTCTTCTGTACGTCAGTACACCAACACTGCTGCTGTAAAACAACTTGCCCCTTCCCCCGGGGATAATAAAGACTCAATTGTAAATGAGAGTATCTTATGGTGAGAACTGTGGTATTGACAGTGACAAATACTAAGACCCATGCTGTTGAATGTAACACCCTAGCTCCTCAAAGAATAGAGCTAAATGACACCCAATGACATCAAACTGCCAGTCAAACGAGGTGAATGCACTAGACAATCTCCCCTCATTAAGATTTCTTGTGTCCTTATCAGGTATATTTCAATGCTTGCTGTCCAATTAGAAATCACTGAAAGAAAACTCTTGAACTTCACATTCACGTAATTTGGTTCAGTTTGCAGTCATTTTCTTTAATCTGCTTATGCTAGCAAAGTCAATAACAATAAAAGACTGAAAATTCATATTCCATTCTAGCTGTTCTGTTCAACTCTGCTCTGTTCTTACAGGTTATGTTCCCCTAACACAAAAGCAGAAGGCACACTTAAAGTGAAAGTTGAAAGTCATCTTTTATTGCACAATAAAAGATCACATACCATGTTTTGAGTTATGTGATTGGTCCACATGGGAATACAGGAGCTAGTTCAACAAAATAAAAACTAACGCCGTAAAAGCTGCAGAGGCAGATTTCAGATCTACACAGAACACACTCTGCTTCTGTAGCATACAATCCGGAATAGTCTTGGGTTCAGGGAGAAAAAAAACTTACACCCGGGTGGCTAACCACTGGCCTTCACTGCATTAAAAGAAAACTACAATTCCAGTGCAGGTGGCTGTGGTCCAAAAAACCTTTAGCCCCATCTGAGCATCACACTGTCTGTTCATGCAATAAACTCCCAGAACTAAACACCTTACTAAACAGGGCTCTGTGAGGCACACTGTCTGAATTAAGCTGACAGTTTTGCTTGTTGACACAAAATGTGTGCTTGCAAGAAGACACACCAGCTCGTTTTAACTTTATGCTCTAGGCATGGCCAGTGATGTCAGGGTTTTATAATCATCCATTTTTTAACCACTTCTTCTAGTTCAGTGGTACGGGGGAGCAGGAGCCTATCCCAGCAAGCAACGGGCCTCCGGTAGGATGCACCCTGGATGGGGTGCCAATCCATCTCACGACAGACACAAACACAGACAAGCACACACTTGCACCCACGGCCAGTTTTCCCAGAAGCCAATTAACCTACCGGTATTTTTTTAGGACTGTGGGAGGAAACCCACATGAACACAGGCCGAACATACAAACTCCACACAGACAGCACCCCCAGGTCTGGAATTGAACCCAGGGCCCCAGAGGTGAGAGACAGCAATGCTAACCACAGTGTCACAGTGCCACCCAATGGGACATTTACAAGGACAAATTCGGTAAAATACCAAAATGTTTCCTGACAATTAACCTTGAAGAGCCCTGTTTTAGAACAACAGATCGCACATTATTAGTTACTAAAGTATACCATCAGCCGAAGATGAGAGTCATAAATCTGTGATGATTGATAAACGATAGGGCTTTGTGTCAGAAGGAAACCTCTTTCCTTTCTGTTGGAGTAAATAAGTGATTTTAGTGTTGTAGGATTACATTACTAATTATACTATGTACTATTTAGTATTGTGCTCTAACTAGTACAGTACAGGTGCTGGGATACCAGTGCATAACTAATTACAAATGACAAAAACCTGACCTAAACAAAAATGAGAAATAAAAAAAATTCTGGATAAAAATAAGAACTTGCAGGTCAAGAATATAAATATGTTTTTTATTATAACTCCACTTTCAAATAGCTTGTTATTCACATTTATTTATTAATGGAAAACGACTCACATAGGAAATAAGTCTAACTGGAGGTGCTTTAATACAGTACACAGACACAGACGCTATGATTGACAGTCACAGACAGTGAGACACTCAGACAGCCTGGATATTCTTTGCCTAGTAATTCATTATTCAGTACAATAAAGTTTCATTTTTAATCTGCTGCAAACTATCCCTGCTTCCACTGGAGGCAAAAATAAGATTTTTTTTTTTAAGGAAAACTAACAGCGTCAGTGTCGAAAAGAGATTTGGATCCTGCAGGTTTTCCTTCTGAACCCCTTATAAGTTAGAATACAGGTATAAAAATGATACTGGTAAGAAAGAAGTGTACAATAAATACATCTGAAATACACACGACTCCAAAAACAATCTGACCTTTGGATAAATTAGCAAGACTGTAACAGAAAAAAAAAATACAAACATGGTAAATAGCGACAAACGACAGAATGTAAACTGAATAAATACTAACAGTTTCTGTGACCTCGGCTGCCCTTAATTACTGCTCCAATGAAGAGATTCAAGTCTTTCTCCCAGCAAACGCAGGGAACAGGTCCTGTCTGTGAGCGGGTGATGATGGTCAGCTGCTGCTGGGCTTGTCCCACTGTCTTCGTGTTGCGACGCCGACGTGATAGCTGAGGGAACTGTTTCTTTTTTTCTGAGGAGAGTCCAAACGCTCCAGCCAGACTTGTGTCAGAGGGGCAGGAAACTAAAACTGCGCCACCCAGTTTAGTTGTATGCACACACCTTCTGTTGCCAAGCTCAACGGGGTTTTGAAAAGTATCATGACGGTGGTGAAGACACGCAAACGTGCCAAGTTACTCGGAATTAGTAACACCATGCTCAGGCAGTCTAACAGTTTTGGGAAGCACAAAAAAGGGATCGCTTAAAATCACTTTTCACCAACAAAAGAACATTCATGTGAACTTGCAGCAGAGATCTGTGAAATTCCTCAGATTTTTGTGCTTATGAGATCACTTGAGAAAATATTAAGAGCATCAGATTGGAACACCTGTCTTTGCATTATTATTATTATTATTATTATGAACTGTGCGTTTTGCTTTTTAAATCCAGAAGCAAAAAGGTTACCAAGAAAGCAAAAAAAGTATGCATACAACTAAAGGGAAATTTCAAGGAACTCAGGCCAGTGAGATTCTTAGACCAGGTTTCAGTTTTGATAAAATGAAGTTCTACACTAAGTACTTTTATATACATTTTCAAATATGGAAATGCACAGAAACATCCATAGGCATAACTCTAAATAAGGCATTTTGTACTTCCAATATAACTAAATAATAACAAAGGATGATAATGATAATGGTTTCTCATTATATTTGGTAACGTTTGGCAAAAGCAAAAACAAAAAGCAAAATAAATAAGAAAATAGGAAAAAGCCACCAGCTGTTTCAAGGCAACATCAATGCTAGTTGTGAAAAGTGAGACTGATGACAGTGCGAACCTGCTGTGGATGAGGAAGAGGCACAGTTTCCAGGTGAGCTTCCACACTAGGAAAACCACAAAGAAAACCTCCAGATGCCAGTGAGCCTGCCACGCCCTGCTTCTCTGTGCAAAAACATGTAACATGTAACATAACACAGGAAAATCAACTGTTCTGTCAAAGTGGCTTAGCTGCAAACGGACTCAGAAGCTTTAAAAACGCAACAAATGAATACCAAATCCAGTAACATTCATCGCCTTTCTAAACGCCTCTCAGTATAAAATAAAGAGAGATGCCAAACACTAGTATATCAACGAGGTGTGAAGTTACTGAGAGGTAAAACTATGAAGTGGAAAGGACAGTACTACAAGCATGGAGACAACTGGTCCTGATTGTGTCAAACACAGTATAATGAATTAAACAAAATTACAAGGGCACCTTGTAAAAATAAAATATAGATTTTACATCATTTAAAAGTAATAGATTTATCAAATCTACCTTCATATGTAAAACAGGAGAAAGGACACCCTAAAACTTTACAATAAGCTAAACACTCTGCTGGTGCATTAGTCCTTTCGTGTTCAGTAGAAACTCCTCCACTGCACTGGACACAAGGGGAAACTTCCCACCTGTTCCTTCAATCTTTACTCAGCTC